TTATAGACAAAGCAGGGGGCATAGCATCTCATAATGGTGAACAAGGGGATGCCTCTGTGCTTGACCAATGAGGCACCCATGCAGAACACTTTAATGGGAAAGCATCCAGGCACCTGGCTTTCTTCCCAAGCTGTTCACCTCTCTCTCTGCTCATTAACATGGAGATCAACAGTATATTGTGACCATTAGGCTTCCCTTCTCACACACAACACCTGTAATGCATTATTTTTGCATTTTTAGTGCCAGAGTGTGTGGTGGGATTAAATGCCTTTTAAATTGTCCTAAATATTTTAATAGAAAATGCTTTTAATAGATTAAAAAACACACATGTATAATAGGATTTTTGGTTGGATCTCATGCCAATAAAAAGGCAGGATAAGAGAGAGAGAAATACTATGGACCTGAACATTTGCCACTCATAATAGACAACAGCATTCTTGGGATAGGCTTGGAATTGGGACAACAAGGGAAATCAGTCTAACTGGCTTACTTGTACAGGTGAGCAGAAAGCATGCAACATGAGAGCCCCTCATTCCTCTTCCTCCAGTCATTTGGCTATCATAGCTATCTATTGTTTACCCTCCATCAGGCATTTTTGACACAAAAGTTAATGGAGCTATTAATTGTCAGGTAGCTGCCTTTTGAAAAAATGAAGTTGGAACATATCCCAGAACATACAGCATAGCCTCTAATTTAGTTCTTGGAAGATGATACTCATCGAGGAAGTGGAACAGAAAATTAGATAGCTACAAATAAAAGTTATTGTTGTATTTGGCTAACTTCCTGAATAATGTCAGTGCAGCTAACTGAAAATTTTACACAACTATATTTAACAAGTAACTGTTAGATTGGCAATATGGGGAAAATATGCATATGTGATGTTTTGTTGCCCCAAGCTGGTTGTTATACCACCACAAACAGAAGATAATTTTTGAATATTGATAATTTGAACATTATTTTTTATTATAATTCATCATGACACATTCAAAGTGCTATCAAATTATTAAGGGCTAAGCAGTGCCTGCCTGGTAGATTGACTGACTACATTTCTACCTTACCTTAGCATCCTATTCAGCTATCCAGCTCATCTACAACTTTCTTTGCTACTTAAGGAAGTAGAACATGTAAGATATCGGTGCATAGGATGTAGGAAAGATAAAAGCATAATTCACACAAATGGCATGTGCTTAGAATTTTTTTCTGTAAATGTGTACATAAAGGTTAATAGATAGATGGCTGGATACATTGTTTCTCCTCATGAAACAGAAATATAAGAATGAAGTAGGAGCTACTTTAAAAGTAGAAGAGATGAATCACCATGAATAGAGATCTATTTCAAGCTATAGAGACAGATTTCATCCAAATTCTATCAAAAATTTGCCAACAAAACAATGGTCCACAAACTGGAAACACTCAGCGTACATTTGAATCTATAAGAAAAGGGACTCAGGGATTGCAATACAGATTGGACCATAGCATTGATTTCCATTTGGAGCCAAGTGATGCTCAAAACTTTGAACAAAGATTTCTGCTACACATGAAGGACAAAATGGCAGATGTACAAGCTGGATTTAGAAAAGGAAGAGGCACTACAAATTGTATTGCAAACATATGCTGTCTAATGGAGTGTACAAAAGAATTTCAGAAGGGGAGGACACTCTGTGCTTTATAAACAATAGCAAAAGCTTCAGATGTATCTATCATGAAAACTAAAGATTGCTCTGAAAGAAATAGGAGTACCACAGCATTTGATTGTCCTGATGTACAACCAATACTTTAGAGTCAAGAAGCCACGGTCAGGATGGAATATGAAGAAACAGAATTGTTTTTGATTGGCAAAAGTGTCAGGCAAAGGTGCATCTTCTCATCTTATTTACTTAATTTATATGCAACATTATATGGAAAATGAGAATAGACTCAGAGAAAGAAAGTGTGAATACAGGTTGGGAGGAAGGAATATCAATAATTTAAGCTATGAAGAACACACCGTGTTACTGGCTGAAAATAGTAAAGACTTGGCACAACTACTGAGGAAGGTAAGGAACAATTTGCAAAAGCAGGATTACAGCTGAATATTAATGAAACCTTCAGCCACACAGAGCTGCTGAATTCTAGAGCAAGTTTGTGAGTGGATTTTGCCTGGGAAGGCAACAGAGTGTCACCTAGAAGTTATGGATCTTTCATGATAACAAATATGAGGAAATATGGTAATGTAGTAATATAGTGATGTAGTAATATGTTGATATAGTGAGATAGAAGTAATTTGATACAATGAAATAACACTATTGTTAAGAAGCAAGAAATGGAAGGGGAATATGCTGGGGATAAATTGGAAAGGAGGGAGGTAATCTAAATGAAATGCAAAGTGGGGACAGATGGACAATGGCAGGGGAGAGTTATAGTTTATGACACTGTTGGTTTTCTGAGGAAAGACTTTGATGGCAAACAAGACAACATCTTGCTTCCTGGGTAAGATGGATTGATATGGAAGATGGGGGAGTCAGAGGAAAAGTACCAAGTTTAAAGAACTCATTAATATAGTCAAAAGTATGTGGACTGCAGGCTGAAAAAGGGGGTTGGGGAGGGAATCTTTAAAGGTTGGCTTATTTGGGGACAATTCAGATTTGACACTACTCCATCCGTGGCAAACCATTATCTTGGATTCCAGAATAAAGCATTAGTTAATTTACACTATTATGCTGTTTTGGCTCTTTAAGCTTGGATCTGCTATTCATGACACAGAGGCCCTAAGGAATAGGAGGATTTGTATCTTTCTCTTCATTTGGGCCAATACCACTTCCCTAGGAGAGCCTGAAATAAAGCAGCTCTACATAGCCAAAAGCTTCAGCCAGACTGAGGCACCTAGCCACAAGATCAATGGTAAAGAGGTGGTTTATCTATCTGCTTGAGTAGATGTAGACCAGGTCCTCTCAGGTTGGAGGAATCAGGTTGGTGTTGACTGGGCCTGCATGTTTATGTTTCCACATGTAGATGTGACAAAGATTTCAATTTTAATCAGTTGCAGTGGTGGGGAAGGCACTGGATATGTCTAGGACTCACAAAAGCCAGGGGAGGGGATGGGAAAGAAGATGAAATATATTGCAAATCTGTGATTTGGAGGCAGTTTTTTTTTTCATGGAGGTGACATCTTTGTTGGTGACATTGGGTGACAACAACCCTAGTGGTACCACTGTCTGACTAAAAACCAGGAAGTAAAGTTGAAGAGTAACCTAGAGTCTAATCAAAGAGCAAGCCAGGATAAGACAATCTTGTTAAATGATATTTAACTGCACAGGAAAAATTTTCTAAGACTGTTCTGTGGCCATCTTGGGTAGACAGCATTACATCAAGGCCACAGGATCTCACTTCCCTTACGTATGCAGATGCTGCAGCACACTACCCTCTGACCCACCATCTAGGGCAGTTAACAAAGGCTTCCAGTGCAAGTCAAGAAAGTTCCTGACATCAAGAAGAAAAGTCCTTATTTAAATTTTATGTTTCATTTATTGTTTAACATAAACATTTTTTCCTCAAATCCTCCCTGCCTTAGGTGAATAGCAACATATGTAGGAATCTATCTAATTCCAAATCAGCCCATTGGTTCTTCTACTTTGGTGCTATGGACTCTGTCAATGGCTCTTCAGCATTTCAAGATAGGATTCTTTCCTAGCCTTATTTTGAGAATGCAGGTATCCCCTAAGTTCATGTTGGTGGACCCGTGGCATGCCTGCCATTTGTGGCACACAAAGCTACATCACAGGGCATGCGGTAGCTGGGCTGGTTCCTTGCTTTGGCCCAGTTCTCCCTGGTTCTCTCCTTCTGGTTGGAAGCCACGCCTACCATGAGGCACAGTTCCCTGGGGGACACCATTTTTTCTCCTCCTCTTAGACTTGGGAATGTGTGTGTTGTGAGCCTTCAGGTCATTTCTGGAGAATGTATCCCAGGGTTTTCTTGGTAAGCTTCATCAGAGGGGGTTTGCCATTGGCATCCTCTGAGGCTAAGAAAATGTGGGGTGCAATTTTAGTTTTCCAAGATGTTAACCCTTTTAAAGGAAACAAAAAAATAGAAGTATAAAAGTAGAACTTGTTAGAGTCCAGCTTTTATTAGCAGAAGAACAAAAGTGTGGGTCAGACTATTATTTTAAATATGCTTTCCTAAAGAATAAAGACTTAATCAGGGGAAAAAAAACATACAGTTTGTAGTTTAAAAACAAATAATGGCTTTAATAAAAATATGCATAAAAGAACTAAAACCTAATCTAATTGGAGATGGTTTGGTTAAAGAGAAATAAATCTCACCATCTTTTAGATAGCAGGAAGATACTACAACTTACAGACTACTGACTGCAATTACTAGCAGTTTAGAATCTTGGGAGAGATCTGTTAAACTGCCTCCAAGAGTGACAGGAGCCACATGTTTAGATATAATGAGAGAGGGGGGGGGGATACCTGTCTAACTAAAGAGGGAAAGGGATATATAATACATAAACTTTCCAACAGTTTGCCATTGGCATCCTCTGAGGCTAAGATAGTCTGATTTGTGTGTGTGCAAAAAGCCTTCCAGAATTTTCTAGTAATCCTATCCCTCTCTTCCCCCTCCCTTTCAGAGTCCTTCCTCAGGCTGAGAGACTGTGATTTGTCCAAGGTTACCTGATGGATTTCTGTGGCTTCATGGAGAACTGAACCATGATCTTCTGTAGGACTAGTCACAACAAACTGTTACAGGATTTGTAAGATTTGTTCAGAGGAGGTTACCATTACCTTCTGAGGCTGAGAGAGTGTGATTTGCCCAAGGTTACCTAGTGGATTTCTTTGGCTTCATGGGGAATTGAACCCTAATCTCTCAGAGGACTAGTCCAACACTCAAACCACTACACCACACTACAAAACAACAAACCTGTTACAGGATTTTCTTAGCAAGATTTGTTCAGAGGGGGTTGCAGTTGACACCCCCTGAGTCTGAGGGAGTGTGACTTTCCCAAAGTCACCTAGTGAGTTTCTTACCTGAGCAGGGAATCGAACCCTGATCTCCTGAGCCATAATCCAACATTCAAATCATTACACCACGCTGGCTTTTGTTGGCCATATAGCAAAGTACAGTAACATCCAAAATCCACAAAATAGTGATATTCAGCTACTGGTGTTAGGGCTGAATCTGCACAGCAGAAATAATCCAGTTTGGCACCAATTTAATTGTCAGGGCTGGATGCTATGGGATCCTGGGATTTGTAGGTTGGTGAGATATTTAGCCAGAGAGCTCTGGTTCCACAATAAACTACAATTCCCAAGATTACCTAGCACTGAGCTAGGGCAGTTAAAGCAGTCTCAGACTGGATTATTTCTGCACAGTGTTTTGGACCTCTGACTTTAGCTGCAGTCCTTCCCCTGGAAGTCCCACCCCTGGAAGTTCTGCCCCCCCCCCCACCGGGCACCCGGTGACACCTGGTGTGGGAATGTCACTGAGTTTGAGCACTCCATCTCTAAAAGGTTCACCACTATCAAACTATCAGTCTGGCCTAACCCTGGGGGGAAGCAGACGGTGCAAAGGGCCATTTGGGGGGCAAGGAAGGGGAGGGGCAGCCGCACAATGGGCACCCCAACCCCTTCCTGAAGGCATCATCGGAGCGCCGGCCCCTCCAAACGCTGCGGCAGAAGAGTCGCCTTTTGCGGCACACCTTCAGCAACTTGTGGAAGGAGCGCTATTTTAGCACTCCTTCCCGGGGTGGCAAAGCTGCACCATGGGGCTGAGGTGTGGGGATACCTCGGCCTCACGGCACAGCTTCCCGGGGCGGTCCAGGGCCACCTGTCTGCTTCCCCCCCCATTTAGCTTCTGAAATCAGATGAAACTAAATGTGCTTAGGGTAAAATGGTGGCTTCTTGGTCTTTCTATTCTTATGTTTTTATAGCCACAAGGCTCTGCTTGTTTGTGGTAGGTTTCAAGAGAGCATAGTTGACTCTGCCCTTTAAACCTTCATGTATGCAGTTCAAATGGATGCTGAGCAAGCAAAAAAACACTCTGGTAGGGGTGTTACAAGTAGGGCCATGTGTCAGCTTCATGAACACACATAACATGTCCATAGGGTTCTGGCTATTTTCCATTCGAAACTCATAACAATTTATATAACATGCTATTGCTGAATACCGAGAGTTTTAAAGAGTATAAAGGCATGTAACTTTTTTAAATCTCTGTATATTCTGTGCAAGGAATTACCTTGTTATTGTTAAAGCTATGTTACATGCAGGGGTAGCTGTGTTGGCCATTTAGCAAATTCAAACAAAAATCCATCAAACAGTTATACCTTTATTGGCCAACCATAATGCACAGTATATGTGTTGCAAGCTTTTGAAGCTCCACAGGTTTCTTTATCAGGCAAGATATTGCAAAACAAAACAGGAGAAAAACTGGAGATGTTAGTAAGATGCCTTCATTTTTGATGTTTCTGTCTTTAGTTAAGATGGTATGGGGAGGATATCTTTTGCAGACTGGCTCCTCCTCCTTCTGACCATGTGGTAATTGGGGATTCTGAAATTCCAGGAAATTTAAAGTCCATTTGGATATCTATATTTGGTATATATTAATATTGTACTAAAAAAGAGGGAGGGAAGTAGGATTCTGCTCATTTTATGAAGTAGGGCTTAAGGTTTTGTTTGATCCTTCCTGAGTTTTTGTACAAGAAGGACGGCAAGAAGCCTGACAATTGTTAATTGCTATAGAATAAGTTTAATTTCACATAATGGTGCTTAACATTTACAAAACTTAGTGCTTGGTTTTATTTACCATGCCCCCCCCCCCATCATTGGATCAGTCCTCTAAAACTAATGTCTGCTTCCTGATGGATCCAGATAGCCTTGCAGAACAAATCAAAGTGATCCTGAAAATTTTCCAAGCTTGTAATGCTATTATCCTCTCTCTTTCATTTCTTTAAAAAATGCAAGCTCTTTAATAATTTTCCCAGAGCCTGTGATTGTTATCAAAGGAGAACTACATTTGATGCTGTGTTATGCAACAGAGAAGAAACAGCTGATTCAATTATAATTCTATCCCTTTGTAGAAGTTTTTCTTTTAAAAAAACCACAAACCTTCAGTTAATACTGTGCATGTGTGCATCACACATATGCAGTTTCTCAAAACATAGAAATGGCTAAAAGTTAATATTCTATAACTGCAGAACTCTGAAGAGCACAGATCTTGGCAAGATGACTAATTATTTAAATAGCAAAAATACAAATAATTCATCCAGCTAGACTATTATAACACTTATAGCTAGACTATAACAGCTAGACTATAACACAAAATGGAGCCAGCAGGGGAGGGAGTTATTTTGATAGACTAATGGGAAATCCAAGCAAGACAATTTGCACAAATGCAATCAGGGAAAAAAAAAACACTGTAGAATGCAATGACCCTTAACAGCTAGGCAGAATTTGGAAAATTTATCTTTTTTGGACCACACCTGTCAGGTAGTAAGACCACTGGTCAAGTTCTACTTAGGAACAGGAAGAATATTAAAAAATATTTGGAGAAATGGTTGAAAAATATGTTGCTTAATTGTCAAGAAACCTTATGAGAATAAGTTTTGAACACCAAATACAGTAGTCGTTGAAAGTGAAAGTTTTGAAGACTTTCTCACAAAGAGAAAAAAAATTGCTGAAATTTCTCCTTACTAGCTTTGAGAAGAAAATTAGTAAATAATCACATTACTAATTTTACAACAATAAGACAGAGGAAATCTGTCATCTTCACCTTTTTGAAGCCTCAGAGCTCATTATTATGATCTGTAGTTAGGCTTCAAAAAGGAACTCCCATTTGGATTTATGTACAGTGTAGAGAGGATCATGTAGTACTGGCTTTTCATGTAGAAGTTAAAGATGATGAGCCTCTCAGAATCCAAGCACCACAGACATGACACATGACACAAAAATCCAAGTGTGGCTTCTTAAGAGATTAGTATTCAAAGTCCATTGACTAAATGGATACATTTCTTAATTTTTATTTCTTACACATACAACTTTAAAAAAAACACTCAAGTTCTTTCCAACCTTAATATAATGATAAAATGCACATTTAAGTAGATTCTTATAAAAAAAATAAACTGAAATAAAAATCCTACCCATTCTTCCTAACAACACCATCATAAACATTCTGATTCAGAAGTAGGTATAAGTATTTTCAATGGACTTCATCAATAGTAGACTATTATCCAATTGCTAGTTTCAACTAGAGTAGACTCAATCAATTATTGAATGGTAAGTCTACACATCCATAAATACTATTGATTCAATCAGTCTAATCTAGTTGAGACTAGGAATTTAATTTAGGCCAGTAATTATTTTAAATATTATTTTCTCATACATTTCTACTTTTACTTCAGAGGTTTCAGATGTAGCTTTGATTTAAAAAAAAATACATCCAAGTGTCAATTGAGGAAGCCATCCTTTCCCTTGCGAAATCCTCTTAGGCATAATGCTGCATCTTTCCCATGGCATCATTCTGACTCAAAGTAATAATAAGGTACTCTATAGGATTATTAAAGAATTAATGCCACACTGCCAAATTAAATCAGTTTGAAATCACTTTAATTGTCATGATTCTATCCTACAGAATCCTGGGATTTGTAGTCTGGGACAGCAACAGAGCTTTCTGACAAACCATGCTGAATACCTCACCAAATTACAAATCCCAGGTTTCTGTCAGACAGGGTCATGGCAATTAAAGTGGTGCTTTAACGTTGCAACGTTTAACTTTGTTTTGTTTTAAATATTGTTGTTCCCCACCCCGATTGCCAAGCAGAGGGGCAGGATATAAATAAAAAAATATTATTATTATCATTATTATTATTATTATTGATACCCCTAAGCCACGACATGAAACTTTTTTTACAGAAGGAGATAAACTCTCAACCACATCATGTAGCCCCACCTCAAAATTCCAAACTCTACAGACATTGTTGGATTCTAATCCTCAACATTCCTCACCCTTGGTGGGGCTGCCTAGGACTCCTGAGTAATGTAAGCCAACAACACTTGGAAGGGAACACGATTGCCATTATTGTCCTATCTGAAAATTCTTCAGCTTTGCCCACTAACATATCTTCCCACACATTTGTTCCTCCTGATCAAGGTATTGCCTAACTCAGGGTGCATCTGCATTGTAGAAATGATGCAGTTTGACATCACATTAAGTGCTGTAGCACCATCCTATGGAATCCTGGGATTTATAGTTTGCAACATCATTAGCCTTTTCTGCCAAAGCATGCTGGTTCCTCACAAAACTACAAATCCCAGAATTCTGTAGGATGGAGCATGACAGCTAAAGTGGTGTCAAACTAGATTATTTCTACATTGTAGAGTAGATGCATCCTCAGATTCTGGAATTTCCTTCTCCTTAATAAATGAGTATCACTGTTGCTTCTGCAAATCTATCAAAACATTTAATCTTTTGTTGCTTTAAAGGTATATTTCTAGTAAGAGGGTGATGGGAAAAGCAAGAGGGGACATTGAAAAATAATTGAATCATTAAAAATACAAGCACAAATAATTGAATGTCATACTTTGACAAATTCCAGTTCTGCAAGCCCCCAAATACCAAATGTAAGTGTTTGTTTTTCCTCTTGTTTGACTTTGGTCATTAGAGCCACAAACATGAGACTCATTAGGTCACCACAACTCCTCAGTGTTCAACTCTTCTTCTTGATGCTTGACAACTTTGGAAAACATTTTAATAAAGAAGCAATTTTGCTAATCAAATATTTCTCTCAGACTCATCAACTCTAATGAGAAAGTTACTGCCAAGCTACAAGAATAAATCCTTACCTTGACCTTTATGTAATTGAAATATAAATAACTTTTAAAACCTGGATAGTCTTTTGGCTGTGATAATTTTTCCTTTAGCATTTCACTCAGACATTACTATGAAACACTGAATTCCTCTCACCTCTGCTCTGTAACACACAAATGTTATTTTTTAAAAAAAATTGCAAGTATGGTTTCTCTTATTAAAACCCAATGAAAAAGGATTCATATTCAAAATAAAAACAACAATAATGGCAAACTGTTGTGTCTCCAATGGGCAT